GTGACGTGCCAGAGGCCTGCTTCCCCTTCGCGCCACCTCCTCATTGGCTAGAAGCACAGAGGGGATCCTCTCCCTCAACAGCTCCGCCCAGCACCAACCTTCCTCAGGAGAGCGTCACACTGTCACAAAGGCTGTGCAGGGTGACGGGCAGCTGAGGGATGGACCCCAAGCTACCCTCCTCAGGCCACCTGTGGCCCAGGTGGCCTTGGCCGAGTCACCCACTCTGCTCTGGCTGGGGCCTGCTCACGAGCAAACTGTGACGGAGGATGCTGACAGGAGGGTGCAACCGCCCCCAGCTCCTTCCAGGCACCTCTGGGTGGATGTGAGCACAAGGGGCTTTGAGAAGCCAGGCCAATGGGGACAGAGACGGGCACGGCCAAGGGCAAGCGAGGGCAATGTGCCCAGTCCAGTGCCAGGTGCACACAGGCACCCAGGAAACACTGGAGAACAGAGACTTCTGCTTCCTGCCAGGCCACACGTAAGGAACAGAACAAAAAACAGAAACCAACCAGCGCTCTGCCCATTCAGTGCTCAAGCTGCACTCAGCTGCCCAGGAAGGCAGCACTCCTAGTAACAGCTACGCTGAGGTTAGCTCAGTTCACCTATGACCGTTCAGAAGGAAGTCAGAAAGTCCATGTCTTGAGACAGCTGTGATGTGTAAGACTACACACAAGATGGCGTATGAAACGCTTATCTCCAAACCAAGCAGCACACACCCCCGCAGGCATGACTGACACCACTATGTGCTACCCGCCCCCAAACACACAGCCAGACAGGGCAGGAGATGTCACGTTCAGGAAGGCCCTGGTGGTGAATGGTTAATGCACTTGGCTGCTGACTGAAAGGCTGGAGGCTCACGTCCACCCAGAGGCGCCTGGAAGGAAAGGCCTGGCAATCTACTTCTCAAAAATCAGCCACTGACCACTGTCTGAGCACTGCGCTCTTCTGAGCCTCGCGGGCAGAACGGTCGTTTCGTTTGAGCAGGTCTGGAAATCGAAGCTAAACGCGAACAATTCCCAGGCTGCGATGCCAGCCCTGTCTGTCCGCGTCCTCCCACTACCTCCCTTTCCATCCGCCCACTTCTGCCGGGAAGAAAAGGGCAAAAGCAGAAACCCCTCCAACAGCAGCCGCTGTCCCCTCTGCTGGCACCTCCAGTTCCCAGACCACACCGGCCACTGGCACTCAGAGGCTCGAGTGGCCCCTCAGAAGCCCTACCACAGCTCCAGCTTTTCAGTAAATAAAAGAGCCCGCTGTCTGGAGCCACGGGCCACGCCACGTGCCGAGCGCATGGTGAATGCCCTTCTGTGGCACACATATGCTTCTGTCCACTTTCCCCGTCAGTCTGCTGTTATCCCGCCAGCTCGGAGCAGAACTGGGAAGAAACGGGCTTTCGTGCCCCACCTCTGATCACAAAACAAGGCCTTAACCACGGTCAGGAGGAAGGCGTGGCAGCTGGACCCGGGACGAGTCCCGCCTGTTGCTGTCAGGTGCAGCTGAGCGGATTCAGACTCAAGGACACACCACGTGACAGAGAAGAACCATGCCACAGGGTTTCCAAGGCTGTCATCTTTATGGGAAGGAGCCCTGGTGGCACAATGATTAAGCACTCAGCTGTTACCGGAAACGTCAGAAGCTCAAACCCATCAGCCGCTCCAGGGGAGACAGACCTGACAGTCTGCTCTGCAAAAATTACAGCCTAGGCAACCCTACGGGGCAGTTCCACTCTGTCCTCTAGAGGCGCTGTGAACCAAACTGACTCCACGGCACACCAACAGCCTTTACGGAAGCAGATCATCAGCTTGCTCTCCAGCAAAGCCGTCCGCGAGGTAAAAACTAGCAACTTTGCAGTCAGCAGCCGAGTGCTGAACTGTTGAGCCACTGGGGCCCCTGAGCCCTGCCCAGCCTTCCACAGCCACAAGTTCACCCTGCGAGGCCTGAAGGCAGATTCCCCAGGAAGAGTGTGGGGAGCGCCCGACAAGGTCCATTCCTGGGCTCTGCCAGAGGGGCCTGTGAGAATCACTGCCAACACACACCTGCAGGACGCTCTGTGAACACGCGAGATGCGTGAGGCACTCCATGCAGTCCCCCACAGCCTGCGGGGCAGCAGTGCGGGACTGTCACCGTCCCCCTCTCCACGGGGCTGCCTCTCAGGCTCTGCCCTAGGTCCACGGCCCTCCCAAGCCCAGCCTAGGTCCTCAGAGGGGACTCTTGGATGACGGCCTCCAGGATGTCTGGGAGAAGCGGTGGCATCCACCTAGTGACAAGATGCCAGCCGGGAAAGCCTTTCTGCCAGAAACCCCGGGCCAGGTCAAGGGCTGTCCTCAGGTGGAAAGAGAATGATGAGAGAGAACGGATGTTCCAGAAGCCTCAGCGTGAGCACTCCTAGGAGCATGGCAGAGGGGAGGGCACGGCCAGGCAGACGAGACGGCCCCCAGGAGCACGGCAGAGGGCAGCGCACGGCCAGGCAGACGAGACGGCCCGGGTGTGCTATCCGGCTGGCTGCCCCATGGCTACTTCAACCCTCAGCTGTAACCAGGACACACCGCCTCCCGGGACGGGCAGGGCTCCTCTCGGCCAGCCCTGCCCCCAAGCAGGCCAGACAGACAAGGGCCCGATGACACCAAATAGAGTGCAGATGCAGGGAGAGGGAGGCAGCTTTGCCTCAGACGAGGACAGCTCCTTACTGCCGTGGAAACTCTCGTCGCTGCCCTTCCTCTCCTGGGTGCAGATCCTGAGACGGGCACAATGACTCCCCACTCCCCACATGTGCTTCAGAACACCACTACCCCACCCCCTTAGGAAGCAGTGACCTTGAAGTACAGCTTTCATTCAACAAAGCCCCCAGAAGGGCCAGCTCTCCACCACCTGCCAGTTAGACGGCAGCCACAGGAGACAGCAGCCGAGGACCACAGGCTCCACGGGAGGGGCTTCTGAGCTGCGTATTCCCTGGGCGGGAGCGCCTCACTTAGGTTGCCACACAGCCTGCCAGGCCTGCTTGGTGGCGCTGGGGACATGGCATCTTCAGAGAGCCCTCTGTGCCCTGAGCCAAGACCTGGCTCTGGAAGTCCTGCACCCTCCAGACACAGGCTGAGGGAGACCCACGGCCTTCCTGGCGACATGCCGCCCACTATTCCTGACTCATCACATTGAGTCCTAAAAACCAGCTGCCAACCTTCCCCAGAGGACAGCACCACATGCAACCCCTAGGTGGCACAGACCAAAAACCAAAATCACTGGCCCCTGACGACTGGCCCCGAGACCTCCCCCAGGACACAATCGGCCAGGAACTGTCATCACTTCCTGGTCAAGTGGGGGCATGTAAATCCTTTTCTTGTCTGTCCAATCCCCACACTCTCCACCACCACCCAAGGATGTACTGAGCTGGTAACCATCACTTCCTGGTTAAAGTGTGGTCACTTTGCTCCTTTTGTTATCTGTTGCCAGCACTAGTGCCAGCTGCCTTTCCTGTGGTGATTTCACAAGGATGCCAAGTGCTCGTCACAAGCCACCAGGCAATCAAGGACAAGAGAAGAACCAGAGGCCACACAGAGACCTGGCTGTGACACCCGGCCCCTGCCGGTGTCCCGAGCTGCACTCCACCTGCAGACAACCTGAGCTTCCCTGCCTGCCGCGAAGGGAGAGCCACGGCCAGCCTGGGCCTGCTGGGTGGCTGTGCACGGCTCCCACCACAGACGGGAGGAGCCTTGGCCACCAGGCTCCCCACACGTCCATCTTGCAGAAGAGGGAAGTGAGGCTTAAGGAAGTGCAGGTGCTCCTCTGAGTCACAGAGCAGGAGGGAGCCGGGATTCTGAAACCCACCCTCACAGCCCAGGGCCCGAGACGGTCCGCCGGAGCAGGTCTAGCGCCCATCTTCTCCAGGTTGAGCAGGGACGCCTCGGAGCTACGCGGGACATTGCAGGCGCTCTCCTCCCTGATGGCCTCTCCCTCTGCAGGAGGCTCGTCTCCGCCCCCACTTTGGCGGCTGAGCAGAGACCGGCCCACCTGGTCTGAAGTTAGCACAACCACAGAGCAAGCTAACTGCAGCCCTGGCCCCCCCAGGCCGCCTCCACACCAGGCAGCAGGCCCAGATACAGAGTCTCAGAGGCTCCCTAGCCCCACCCTAGAAATACGTCAATCATTCCAGGGCGCCCTCCCTGATGGAACCTCCCTCACAGTGATCAAGTGTCTACACCCAGCCGATTTCGTGGGATGAGGTGGGCTCTTGAGACAGGTATGTGCCCCATCGCCCTGCTTCACACTTCCCCAAAAAGCCCTACTATGTGTTCACACATCTGGGCATTAATGGCCTGTGCCTATGTTTGCAGGGTCTAGACCCTGCCAGCTTCACATTAAAAGCAAGTCCACCCACAACCACCTTCAGGAGATAAACCAACTTACCCCAATGGTGAACTTGAACTTGAAGGGCGGCCCCTCGAAGAACGCGGCACAGTTATCATCACTGCCTGTGACCAACCGGTATGGCCTGGTCTGTTTGATGTCCACGCTATTGATGACTTTGTTGTGTCCTGTAATCTCACCCACGGAAGAGCCGCTGTCCCACAGGAAGACGGCGCCAAACCTTCAGCAACGGGAAGAGTCAAAGGGGAGAGAGTCACCCCAGAGATGGCAGATGAGGGACACGAGAGCCAAGGCGCAGGTGGGGTGGACAGTGGCAGTAGACCGGCCCACTGCTGGAACAGCAGGCGTGCTGACACTGGGGTTTCGGCTCTACACGCATTTGTCAAAAAGTTCCAAGGCAAGGAGCCACGCTAGTCAGTTCCTGTGGGTCATGACGGGACTCACTGTCTGGTCTGGCCCCGGGTGTCAAGGCACCGCCCTCACGAAGGTGCCTGGGGCAGCACCTGTTCAAGGGCATTTCACAGCTTCAGCCTTTCCTAACATGTGTTGGAGGACCAGTCTAGGGGAGACAAGAAAGGAAAGAATGCCTTGCTCCCAGATGGTGTTCAATGAAAATGGATCATTTCAGTTACTACTTGCCAACAAATGAAAAATGCATTGTGAAGAGCAACGGAATGATCTGGAAAACCCTAGAAGAATCAGTACCCAACCCGACACACGTGTAAGCACCTCCAAGGAAGGGGCGAGGACAGCACAGGTCAGTGGCAGAACCCTCGCCTTCCACACAGAAGACCTGGCTCCAGTCCCAACAACCACCAGCCGTCTGTCAGCGGAGGCACATACGCTGCAGTGACGTGGAACAGGCTTCAACGAAGCTTCCAAACGGAGACCAGGAAGCACCACGTGACCCGGTGCAGAGAACTAAGCTAGTGAAAACCTACGGACCACAATGGGCGGATTCCATAACTCGTGGGGTTGCCTAAGTCAGAGGCCAACTCCAAGGTGGCCAACAGGAGCAACTGGGCAAAGGACATGGAGACATGCTCGCCTGCTAAGTTCAAGGACTTGCAAACAGTGATGGTGTGTGTGGTGGCAGAAACGGGCTGGATTCCAGGACTGACGCTGCAAGTCAAGGGGCAGGCTGCAACAGCCTGAGTGCCACCTAGCAAGGTCTGCTCCCCTTCTCTCCTGGTAAGAGAATCTTAGGGGACCCGTGCAGCTGGGGGACCCAGCCACCCTTCCTGCAGCTGCTGGCTGTGGCCCTGTAGGAGCTGCTGGAAGGGAACCCCCAGGGACAGCTCTTAGAGGTGCAGCTCTCCTACCTACTCCCCACCCCACTGTCTGGACACGGACGTGACGGCCAGAGCCCTAGCACGCGAAGGACCAGGATGGCAGAGGGCAGAGAGGGCAGCCCTAGCGACAAGCCCTGAGGTGTCACCCGGTGCTGTGTTATGGGCAGTTCTCCATCATGTGCAGCTGAGGAGAACTCCAGGGGTCTCCTTGGCGGTAACCCTCATGGAGGATTGCCAGGGCTTTCTTCCATGCAGTAGAGCTGGGTAGGTTTGAACCACCCACCTTCAGGTTAGCAGCCAATCACAGACCACTTACACCACTCAGGTTTCCTGGCTGAGGCCAACCCTACAGGAGCCCCTGAGCTTGGCCCACGTGGCACAGCAGCTGGTGTGGTCGGCACCTGTCAGGCTCAGTGCACAACAGACGTCCCACACGCCGTGCTCAGAGTAGGCCCACGTGGGATGGCGGCTGGCGGCCCATCAGCTCAGCACACACCACAGACAACCCACATGTCATGCTCAGTGCAGGCTCATGTACGACAGCGGCTGACGCAGTCTGCCCGTCAAGAGCTCAGCACCCACCCTGGACGTCCACACATGTGCTCAGAGCAGGACCACGTGTGTCAGTGGCTGATGCAGCCTGGCCGCCATGAGCTCAGCACCCACCCTGGACGTCCGCTCACGTGCTCAGAGCAGGACCATGTGTGTCAGTGGCTGACGCAGTCTGCCCGTCATGAGCTCAGCACCCACCCTGGACGTCCGCTCACGTGCTCAGAGCAGGACCATGTGTGTCAGTGGCTGACGCAGTCTGCCCGTCAAGAGCTCAGCACCCACCCTGGACGTCCGCTCACGTGCTCAGAGCAGGACCATGTGTGTCAGTGGCTGACGCAGTCTGCCCGTCAAGAGCTCAGCACCCACCCTGGACGTCCGCTCATGTGCTCAGAGCAGGACCACGTGTGTCATGAACTCAGCACACTCCTGAGATGTCCCGCCCGTGTGCTCAGAGCAGAGCCACATGGGACAGTGGCTGGCAGGGCCGGCCCGTCACGAGCCCAACACACACCCCGGTGCCCAGCACGTGTGCTCAGAGCAGGCCTGTTTCTGCCACTACACCACCACTGTGTGACAGTGGCTGACGCAGCCAGGCTGCCATGGGCTCAGCCCACTCCCCAGGTGTCCCGCACGTGTACTCAGAGCAGACCCACACATGACGGTGGCTGACAGGGCTAGGCCATCATGGGCTCCACGCACACCAGACGTCCTGCATGCGTGCTCAGAGTGGCTCTCGGGGGAGCTGCAGGACAGAGGCCGGAGCAAGGGAGCAACTCCCCTTCCTGCCTGGGGCACAGTGGGGGCTGATGAGGGAGAGGCGCGTGTCTGTCTCCCTTCCCGTAAGGCTCCCCAGGAAGAGAGCGCAGCTGGGCATGGCGGTGAGAGGCGAGCGACTCACTTCTCCCTTCCTTCCCCGACCACGGCGATCCGCTTGCTGTCTTCGGTCCATGCGATGTCCCTGATCTTGCCGGCGAAGGGCTGGTACTCGTACTTTAGCAGGTGCTCCTTCTGCGTGGTGTCCCAGATCCTCAGCTTCCCAGACACATCTGTGGATGCAACGGGGACAGGGACATGCATCAGCATCCGGTAGAGCCACAGGGTCAGGACACAGCCACGTGGCCGAGCCCTGAGCTGGAAGGCTTCCTGGAGTGTGGCTAGGCTGTGGCCGGGTGAAGCGAACATGTGTCAGGTCAACGGAGCCTGCGGCTGCTGTGAAATCCATACCCAGAGCCTTCGCATGTCAACAGAGACCACATGGACAACAGATGGCACTAAGGAGGCCCAAGCAAAGGGACAATCCTTGGGTCTCAGAGCATGACAGTAAAGCCCCAACAGCACACAGCAGGTCAGTGTCAGTATCAAACCCTATGGGGACCTAAGGGTGGTGCAGTTAGGTGCCTGACTCCAAACCAGAAGCCTGGCGGTCCTAGCCCACCCAGGCAGCTG